TTTTTGGATTTTTTTTTTCCTGGAACCTTCCTTGGTCCCCACACGGGCTGGCCACCGGGGACCCGGGCGGCCCGGATGGTATCCTAGCAAAAAATAAAATAAAAAAAAGAGGCTTGTAGATCTTTTGGAGACCTATGAACCCATGTTAAAAAAAAAAAACTCATATGTATTTTTGAAAAATAAAAAACATAAAACCGAGGAAAATAAAGCCACAACCCCTCCCAACCCTAACACACACAGGCACATGCACAGTGCACACACACACACACACACGCACACACGCCCACACGCCCACATGCACACACACACACATATATATACATATATAGATAGATAGATAGATAGATAGATAGATAGATAGATACAGAGAGAGAGAAAGAGAGAGAGAGAGAGAGACACCACCTCCCCCACCCAGGTCCCACCCTCCCCCCCCACCTCAGCCACCAAACCCCCAAAACAACCCTTTGACCCCCTCCACCGCCCACCTATGTGAAACGGCCGCGGGCATTTCGGCCGCTGCGGCCGAGAACCCCGACCGCGGCCGTGGCCGATGTGGCCCAGTTCGCGGCCTGGTTTAATTTTTTTTTTTTTACCACTAAAATTACTATAAAAAAAAAAAGGGGTGTAGGGCTTTGAAAACCCTACACCCCTATATTTGTTTTTTTTTTGGAATCCGACTTTGTTTACGATTTTAAAAAACTCAAAAAATAAAATCTATTTAAACATAATTTAAAAAATGTATATAAAAAAAAGCAGGATTGTTTTTTCATATTTTTTTATCATGAGATATATGGTCCCTCAGTACCCTGTATTTTTTTTACAATTGGATTTATTTTTTTTTTGCAAAGAAATGAGGTGTTTAGAAAAAAAAGATGCAAAAATTAAAAATAAATAACCAAGAAACTTAAAAAAGGTTTTTGATTGATTGATTGATTGATTGATTGATTGATTGATTGATTGATTGTGAGTGAGTAAGTGAGTGAGTGAGTGAGTGTGTACGTGTGTGTGTGCGTGTGTGTGTGTGTGTGTGTGTGTGAGAAAGAGAGAGAGAGAGAGAGAGATTTTGCTCATCCTTTCGATAAAAGTTGTGCGAGGCCGCAGCGCAACTTCCATCGGAAGGATGAGCAAAATCAATCGAAAGCTCGGCTAGAACGTCACAATATTCACTACTACACGTGTGTGTGTGTGTGTGTGTGTATGTTTGTGTGTGTGTGTATGTTTGTGTGTGTGTGTGTGTGTGTGTGAGAGAGAGAGAGAGAGATTGCTCATCCTTTCGATGGAAGTTGTGCGAGGCCGAGACGGCCTCGCGCAACTTCTATCGAAAGGATGAGCAAAATCGATCGAAGCTTCCTCTAGAACGTTGAAATATTCACTACTTCTACATACACACACAATCAATCAATGAATCAATCAACGAATCAATCAATCAATCAATCAATCAAATCAATCAATCAATCAATCAATCAATCAATCAATCAATTGATTGATTGATTGATTGATTGTGTGTGTGTGTGTGTGCGTGTGTCTGTGTGTGTGCCGGGGGGAAGGGAGGGAGGACCCCTCCCCCCCAATCAATCAATCAATCAATCAATCAATCAATCAATCAATCAATCAATCAACGAAAAAAATTCCCAGAATTAAATAATCATTCTGTAGTGAAATTACATTCTAAATTTTAAATTTTCATTCCACCTTAAAAAATGTCGTTCCAATTTTAAAATTTTCCGTCCTACTTGAAAACTTTCCTTCCAAGAATGAGGTATCCCTTCTTGTTTGAACTGCATGCTAGAGATGGAATGAAAGTGTGGACGAGTTCATGAAATATTTTAATTGGACTGCCATTCTAAGTAAGGATTTTCAGTCATAAATAGGTTAATCTAATCTAAATTAGAAGATATTTCTTGTAGTAGAATTAAGACATTTCATAAAATCATCCAGACTTCCATTCCATCTTGAACAAATAGATGTAGTTGGAAGGGAAAGCTCATATTTAGACGAGAATTTATCAAATAAAACTGAAAAATTTAGAATTAGACAAACATTGGAATGATTATTTATAAATATGAAGGATTTTTCTTTTATGAAATGTTTTTCAACTTTCATTTTTTGTGGGAATTTTTCTGTTGATCAATCAATCAATCAATCAATCAATCGATTTATTTATTTTTTTATTTTTTAAATTTGTTTTTAACATATAAAAAATCACCCCCCCCGAATTTTTGATTTTTTTTTGTTTTTTTTTTTGCACAGGCCTATAGTGGCCAACGTGCGCAGGCCGACCGAGCGCGCGGATTTTGAGCGCGCACCCCCACCTGCGCGTGGCGTGTCCGCGCGGGCTCGACCGCGGGCCTGCGTGGGCCTGCGGCCTTGGATCCTGGCCGCGGACTAGGATCCTACGACCTCGGCCGAGGGTGCCACGTATCCGCCCACCCAACCCCATCAAAAACCACCGCCCCACCCATTTTTGCTTTTTCAGTGCAAACACCCCCACGCGGTCACCTTCACATCCGGGCCCTCACCAGGTGCACGCGCTTATGTTTTGGTGTGCGCGTGTGCTCGAAAAACGATTGGGGGCTTTTTAGCGCACATTGGGGGTCTTTAAGCCCGCCACCCGCGTGCTCGCACTTAAGCGCGCTCAAACGGTTTCATAGGTACAAAAAGACAATATAAGGCCTCAACAATGTTCGACGATCTGTTTGCTCTTTCCACTAACTCGAGAGCCTCGCTTGGGGCCCTTAAGAAAATTTAATGCTTGGATTTGTATTCGTTATTCTCTGAGGCTCTGGTTAACTGGCCCAAATAAGTGGTCATCACACAGTGACAATCATCTATGTATGGATTGGGGTTTAAAGTGTTTACCTGTGTAAGAAAGTGAGAGATTCTTGGGATTGCAAGTTGGAATGAGAAATGTAAAGAAGAAAGCAAGCAACTTAATTGAAGTTGAGATGCTCGTCAAATTCGATAAAATTTCGAAGGTCCTAGGGGTGTCAATCCAAGGGCATGCCTTGGTCCTTAACAATGTTGTTTTTGCTAATGGATGGTTCCCACGAAGGAATGGGATCTAGCCAGAATAGAGGATGTAGGGGTCTGCTTACTCGCGAAAGCTTTTGTTAAAAGAAACCTGAAATCTTACATCTGGATCGGACATTTTAAAAGTCTGGCCAAGGTGTTCGTTGGATGAAATCCTTTAAGAACATATTAAAGTTTTTGAAAATCGTTGGATTTGTTTGGAATTCTACGAGGGGATGACTTTGTCAACAGAAGAAGTCCCACGCGCATTCAGATCCTTATGGATCCAGAAGGGGGTCTCACGATTGAAGTACGTGTGAAACACAGATACTGCAAATTGGCGTTCGACAACCGAAATCGGATCAAAGTTCAAACACCTAAAGTTTTTAGATAACAGATTAACGTATGTCATTGAAAACATACCCGCCGAGTGAAAGACCATACTGGCTAAGCCGAGCTCGTCCTACGAAGGTCAGTGGATCGTGGAGGGGGAGGAGAGTCAAACGAATTGACTTAGGAAAGTCGAGCAGGTAACGGGTTATGAGGAAGTACAGGTGGTCCGTGGTCGACTAGTAGAGAATCAAGTAGGAAATTCTTTGATCGTCGAGGAGGAGGGTCAAGAGGTGATCTTACAGGATGTAAGCAAGTGACAGTACTCAAGGAAATAAAGGGCAGGAAGAGAAGGTTGAGACTTTTATTACCGTTGGGTCCCTTGGTAGTGACAAAGATGAGGGCACGTCCTCTTCAATGGGGTTGGGGGCCTCACAAATCTTAAGGGCTAACAACACTATTTGAGGACAAGCCTAGACTTGGGTATAGAATGCAGGTCAAGGGGTGGAAAACTCCGATGTCAGCTAAGAGCAAATGGAATGCGGAGAAGTCAACCAATGGTCAAAATCGAAGTGCAGTGTTGTTAGAAGATTCCATCATAGTTTAGGAATCCCTGTAGAAGATTCCCTCAGTTAAGTTTGTTCGTCAAACCTAGCTGCACTCACACAGAGTTGTTGCAACTGCAGTATGGCTGAAAGAGAGGAACATGTCAGTGGAGGAGAGGTGCACTTGGTGTAAAAAGGTACCAGAGTCATCTGTGATACTGTGGTGGAGATGCATTGAGTGTCACAGAATCTGGAGCTGGTGGAGTTATCACTGGGAAAAGTTTGGCAAGGGAAATATTGTATGGGATAAGGATTTTGTAATGACTAGGCTCCTGCCCCCGAAGACCTCCTTCAAGAAGGGTTGGGGTTATGTCGTCATAGCTGCTAGAGCTGCAATCATGAATGTGATATAGAAATTAAGAAATGACAGGTTGTTTAAGGTTAAGCACTATTCATACATTTTTATCTTCCAAGATATCCTAGACAGCATTAATAGGTCGATGATCTGGGTGGCCAGGAGGAAGAGAAGAAACACACGAAAGCAGGCACCGTGGCTCTGGGATGGGGATACTGTAGGTAGGGGTCCCAACTTTAAATGGAGTCTGACAAGACTAGCAAGTTTAAACCTAGGTTTTCCTGAAGATTGTAAATGTTGACAAAAAAAAAGGCACAGTGATAACAATGAAAGCAGGTAAGGAGAAACATTAGTTATGAGAACCGGCTGATAAGCAAGCGTTTTCAGACATATCTGGTGCTTGTTTTATCCGCTGAAGAGACATATTGTTTCGATATTTGGCTGCATCACAAAGAATTCACGAAGTTTCTTTTTGTATTGGACGCTGGCTCCGGTTCCTAGCATATGCAGCTCCTCACAAATAGATCGGATCCCTCGAATTATCGGTACTAACGTGGTGGTGCTCGTATCACCCGAGGTTAGTGGCGGTATCGTTGTTGAAACACCCCCTCCCCATAATTACAGACTTTTACACTCCTTCCACTCGTCGAATTCATCTTATTCCTCTGCCCGACTGCCCGCCCCATGTGGCTACCGAGGAACGGAGTGTTCATTTAACTATTGTTATTCCTACCTTAACCAACTGCAAAACTCTAACTGACCATTTGAGTTCATTGTCACGAACGAGTTTGTGACTTTGCTTTTGCACCACATCCTCATAAACCATCCTAACCCTTGGAGGCAACGCTAATGCAGATACGACTGGAGGGATGATGGGAAAGCAAAGACAATCACAATGCCCAGCTACCACTGGCTCGAACCGTAGCAAAAAGAAACTTGGATCCCACATCATGGGGATGGAGGGGATAGGGAAAAAACGAAGATTTTTTGTACTTGGACAAGGTACTGAAAGCAGTTGAAGTACTCCAACCAGCTAAGCTACTAGTCTCAACGGAAGCAGACTGTTGGGATATCGCTTATTAGATGACAATTGGCTACATTTAGTTTAAAATGTCGTTGCCTTTAACGAATTTTAATGACTTTCGAACTTTCTATTAAACATTTCTTATTCACTAATGATTATATTTTGAAATGCATGACATTCTTCAACTATCGTCCTAGCAATGATTTTGCTTTCTTTTGTTGTTATGATTTTTAGTTATCTTTGGCATGCTCACTGCTAGTCTGGTGTCATGTGTGGACCTACGTAGCACCGTATTCCCGTTCGGAGGAGAACGCGAACATGTTCACCCGAACGCGAACAAACGTCCAAAACCCTCCGAACGCGAACATAAAAAATATTTATAAAAAAAAAAAGTTCTAAAAAACTTCTGAAAATAATATATGTTATGTAAAGTAATAAAACAAGCAACTTTTACCTTGGAGTCATGTTCAAATTCTCAGCCAATCATGAGTTAAAAATCAAAAACCGAAAAAATAAAATAAAAAATATATATATATATATAACAACAAAAATATGTTCGCGACCTGTTCGCTCGAACCCGCGAACATGGACGGGTGCGAACACGTTCGCCGTGCTACGCAAGTGTGGACTTTATAATGTCTGTCACAAGTTTTTCATTTTGCATGTGGCGGAACAAGTTTGCATTGTGTTCCATGTTTCAAATTTTTTGCATCTCTCGATCCTTGATAAACCTCCCTTTTGAATCTCATCTAAGTCCTTAACTCGTTCTACTACTCCAAACTCAGACAAAGCAGAAGGTAAGAATGCAAGGTTATTCAAAAACAATTTTGACATCCCATGCGCATACACCACTAAGCAATATAAGAATGTATCACAAAGATTGTGATCTATAGGCGAGCAGATCAAATTCTCAAAATGTTGTTGTATGACAACAAGTTCTTCGATAGAATAATAGGTAGAAAGGTCGTCGGACGAAGTAAAGCATTTCCTTAAGTCGGAGGACGATAAAAAATCAATATCGAGATTACAAGAACAACTATATACATTAAAAAAGTAAGTGATCTGTTTTCTCATGAATAACATTAAGTTAGACATGAAAGGACGAAGAACATTATGGGAATTGTGAATCCACTTGGGAAACAAGTCGACATCTCTCATTTAAAAAGCAACATGTAAATTAACACTAGGAAACAGAGACTTTGAGGTACGACATCTACACCGAAGATCCTCGTGTTTAGAGGCACCATGCAAATTGTGTAAAATATCCCTGATAGATTGATAATTGCACCACACGATCCGGATCTGACGCACTATCATCTGCTTCCAGTCATCATGGATCCTGAGCGAGTACATCAACTTTGCACACAGCCTTGGCGACTCTGATTTACATAAACAATTATCAAACCGAATTCGGACAACAAGTCTCCTTCGCACTGAGAGATCAAACTTGGATAAGCTAGTCTTAGACAAAATATTTATCAACCTACTTTCTGACCTATTTTTTTGAAAAACCCGAACGTTAGAAAATGCATAGAAAAAAGTTTCCAGCTCCTATATCTTAAGATTTTTACGAGATGACGCATAGCTTAATAAGCTAGCCAAAACAGGTTTCAGTTTAAAATTCTTCTAACAATAAGAGACAATGGACGAGAAAATCAAGACGAATCCATTGTTCGACCATCCTTTGAAAAAACGCAACTGATTAGTATATGAACAGGCAATGGCAACACACGTACCAAAACATCATTTCAAAATCTTCCAACAATCTTCCCTTAGTCGACCTCCTCTATAGACAATTGAACAGTTAGATATCTCATTATTAACTTTATAATTCAAGACGCATAACAAACTAGTCGAGACAATACCAACAAAGGAATGAAATTACAACAAAGATGTGAAACTGGCAGTGAAAGAAAAACGATCATGAAAAAAATGCCGCGTCACTCTTCTTCTTTCTTCTGCATTCTATTTTACTAAAGCGTTGGCATCGGTTATTCTTCTTCCTATCTCTCGAATTTAAGGAGGCTTGTACAACTTGATAAAAAAAATTATCGGTTCTTAATAAATCCTCTTCTGGATAGAAACATATTGGAATAATAGCATACAGATACGGCTCAAAACGTCTTAGCCACATATATAAACGGTCATTCCTACTACCTTGATCGATAATATAACTAACACAAGATCTATAAACATGCACACACCATCTTGCATCAGTACATCGACGAGAGCTCCCACGTATATGACCACTGAGCTTACATGCTCATGGGACACGGACATAGATAATTAACAAGATCATAATGAATTAAAACAGTTCACTCAATGCCTTATTTTGCAACCACTAGACAAAAGAAGAGCGTAGCTTAAAGGAAGACACAACAAGTGGCCATAAAGTGAGAGTGCTCGAGGGAGAACTTACGACTTTTATCGTGTTACTCGACCGACGTTTCTTTCTTAGAAGGACCTCCACATGAATCATCAAAAACCTCTTATACTGCTTTACCATCTTCCGAAAATGCTTTCATCACTCGTTACGTAATAATATCATTCACCTCATCCTTCAATGTTTTATACTTCACACTCTTCTCTTGATACATTTTCGTAATGTCATCCTTCTTCTTATTACTGAGATCCTTTCTTTGATCTTTAATAACCTTTTGCTTCTCGACAACCTTCGAAGTTGTCGGATCTATCATCGTCTTCATCTTCTCTTTTCATGTTGATCGTGAAGCCATTTCGTTATTTCTATGTTGCATATTAGTACATGAAACTCTCTAAGTTGCTTCCAAGTCCGCGAGAGCAACTTTGAGCCGCCCATTTTCAAGCTCCTTCTCACGACCTACGTAGCACCGTGTTCGCGTTCGGAGGCGAACACGAACATATTCGCCCAAACGCGAATACGAGTCCAAAACCCTCCGAATGCAAACATAAAAAATATTTTTTAGAAAAAGTACTCCAAAAAATCTTTAAAAATATATGTTATGTAAAATAACAATAGAAGCAAGTTTTACCTTGGAGTCATGTTCACATCCATAGTCAATCATGAGTCAAAAATCAAAAGCCGATTTGTTTTCTTTCTTTTACGAAAAAATTATATTTGTGCGAACATGTTCGCGACCTGTCCGCGCGAACACGCGAACATGGTCGCGCGAATATGAAAGGATAAGAACATGTTCGCCGTGCTGCTCAGCTCATTACGAATATTACCATCTTCCGCCATCACGGCCTGTAAATGCTCTTTTCTTTGCTCTTTTTCTCGTCTGGCATTCAGATCAATCAATCGAAGATTCTTCAAAGTCTCGACTTCCAGAGAATACGGGTGCATCAACCCTGCATTACTAATCATGTTTTCGGGAGGCTTATGTGGAGTGGCCCTTGCACATGCGCGACCAACTTGAGTAGGCGCGACCGCCATAAGACCCCGTTTATTGTCGAGATGTTACACTTCACTCATGCACGTCTCAACCTTATTCAATGCCTCATCCCACATCATTCTCATTGGTGACATCTACTTCTTAAGGGATTTCACCTCCTGTGTGTTGCGATAAATTCCTTAAGTTTCTTCTTCATCATCTCTTGCTCAGGTAATAGTTGTCAAATCAATTCCTCTCATTCAACGGTCGCTTTCGCAGTTGGCGAAGAAGTCGTCGCACCCTGATTACGCGCCTTCAATCAATCAATTACCTTTTTCATTGCTTCAATCTTAGGATTATAGTCCACCTCATTCTTCTTTTCATTCATCACCTCACACACCTTCTCTCACTTCTTATTCATATCATCCACCATCGTTCGAAGAAAATCTTTTATCTCTTTCCCATCACGTTCTCTTCGATCTCGTTTTTCAACGTCCTTTTGCTTTTGTTCTTGATCCTCTCTTTTGTTCTTCTCTCTCTTCACTTCAGCATTATTCCGAATCTTCATGTCAACCACATTGTTTTTCAAGACAATGAGACGTTGCTTAGCTTCATACCAACTTGAATGTTGCGCTGACGGGTAACCATCAAGGTAGATAAATTGGGGAAAAAAGTAGTATTGGACGGTGAAGTAAGCAAAGGTTCATTGACAACATAAGAATTATTATTAGAACGATGAGGAGCATTGAGGACACCACCTCGCTAAATGTCCAGGGTCACCACAATTAAATTATGTGCGAACTATAGAGGACGTCAGCAAGTTAGAAGCAATGGGGAATCGACGAAAGACAAATCGAAGCCACAGAGATAGCAATATGATCCCTAAGTTGGTTACTTCAGAAAAACAAGTAGTTGGAAGTGTAATTAAAAAAATCGTCAACTATCACATAACGAAGCACCAAAGTAATCGAAACCACAAAAAGGAATAAAGGGCAAAAGAAGAAGGAAAATGAAGAAGGAAGAGAACGCCAGTCTGAACCATAATCCCCGAATGCAGCTTTAAAAATATCAATAATAGCACATGCCGGCTTGACCCAACTAGTTTCGAATTTTCCACCTTATAGAACTGTACGACCAAGTGAAAGCACAGTTGCCTCACAACACTATTCACTGCATCAACCGTTAATCTCTCTCTCTCTCTCTCTCTCGCTCACTCGCTCGTTGTGTGTGTGTGTGTGTCTAGTTGATTCATTTGCATATATTGATGTGCAATTGAATATCAAATAAAATAATAGAATAGAATACAAGAAAATAGAAAAAATAAACAATTACTAACGAATAATAGAATAAAATACATAAGCTAAGTATAAACATAGAAGCATGCACAAACACATGCACACGCACACACACACACGGGCACACACACACACCGACACGTAAGCACACACCCGAGCACGTGCGCACACGTGTGCGCTCGGTAGCAC